GAGAGAGAGAGAGAGAGAGAGAGAGAGATGATTGTGCAATTACAATAATATAATCATTTAGACATCGATTTAATGCTTGGTGTGACCAGAGATGAGGGATCATTATTAACCGAGATGTTTATGGAACACATCCATAACATAACAGTCGATGGATTTAAACAATTGGTCAACAAATCTGAAAAACTCGGCGCTCGTGGTGTAGACGTCGACAAAGTGACCGACTTTTATCTTAAAGGTGTCAACACTACCGACGAAACAGCACTTCAGTGGGCTTTCTATCGCTATGCGGGAGATGTTGTCATCAATTGTCCGACATATCTATTCGGCCAACAATTTGCCCAAAATGTTGCCCAAAATGACCGAAATGTATATTTCTATGAATTCACTTATGCCAATCCAGAAATGAGCATGGTCATTGGCTGTGATCAGGAAACTATGGGTATTTGTCACGCCATTGACATCTTCTATGTCTTCGGTTTACCATATCTTATGCCCGACTTTTTTACGGCCGAAGACTTTGTGTTCAGCCGTTATGTTATGAAATTGTGGACTGATTTCGCGAAATACGGGTAAATAAATGCTGTATTTTGTAATTTATGTATTAATTTTAGTTTTATATTATTATTGCGTTCTTATTAAGCAAACCGGACAACAATTGGCCCAAGTTTTTGACAAACAATACAATTAATATCAAAGACTTGAATCCATTTAATACGAGCCGAGTATTGGATAATCCTTTTCATAGCACTTGCGATGGCTTTTGGAGGGATTATTATTTGTAAATAGGATTTTGAATAAAAGTTTTAATTGCAAATACAGTACAAGTTATCCGATATAATGGAGTTATTACAAGTATAGTATATTAATAATATTACTAATATTATATTAGGTAACCTTTAAAATCCAATAAAATGATTGGTTATACTGAAAACAAAATAGTGTAAATGAAAACATGATATTAAAGTTGTTGAACTGGTATTTATTAAACATTGAAAGCATGTGTTGTAAAGGATGTGAGTTTTCAGCCATTTTGTGATAAATAATATTGTGGTTTAATTTCGATAGCAATTGAAATAAATATTACATTTTATTTGTGTTTATTTTGTTTGTTTGAAAATGTGTTCAAAATTAATGAGTGTTTCGTTGATTGAAATGAAGAGTAAATTCAATGCAATGAA